TTAAATTAAAAATATTAATGTTTTACTTTGCAAGCCTTCAGAAAAAAAAAATGAATGTTTTTCATTTGTATTGTTCTTCAACCACCTGCACATCCTACCCATACAGGCATACACTGCGATATTTTAAAAAAAAAGATCATTTCACCCCAAGCAAAGCAATAAAGCCACTAAGATGCAAGGGGTTATTGAGTGTTAGAAAATATAATAAAAAAGCACTATCAAGAAGAGAGGAAAAATAAAAGAACATGTATTAAGAAGATAGAAGATAATGATTGACATTGTATTTAAATTCTTGAAGATCAAAGTTGACTGGAAATCAAGAAGCTTAAAGAGATTTTCACAAGCAAGAAAGAGAATGAACTGTTAGCATAGAACTTATGGTTCCATCTTGTCATTTCAACTGTAAAATGATGAGATCTTGTCACTGATTTGGTACTATGCTTAAATTCATAAAGTCTAGATACCAAAGAGGAAATTAATATTCATTTTGTGGAAAATACAAAAATGTGACAAGATCAAGAGTGTGGGGGGGGGGGAAGGCTGGTCTTATTCTGTGTATTATAATTAAATTTAGCTAGCCACAATTACTCATCCATACATACCACAGTATTCCTTACACCAAAACAACACATTCTTACGACAACCACCATAATACCTCAAAGTCTCTATGAAGTCCTAACTAATCCCCAGATGTACAATTTGTCTGTGGGGATGGTGAAGAATTTAAAAGTGAAACCCCAATGAATATTTACAATTTTATATACAACAAACTAAACAAAATACCATAGCAGAAAGTTCATCTGAACAACTACCATGAAAGTATTTATAGAAAAGGCACAGGGAAGCTATGTTATGGTGGTGGGAAAGTGACATAAGCTGAGATGCCTGGTCAGGACCAATAACATTGCAGATTCTTCTTTGGGTTTTATCAAGAATCTCTAAATATATAGCAGGAGCATCAGACCAAATGTGGCAGCAATATTTAATGTATGAACAAATGGTAGACTTATAAATATGTAATAATGTTGTTTTTATGTTTCAGACTGCAATGAAAGAATATAAGAAAAAGATAACATTATTAAGGAATGAGAATGTTAAAAGGACAAGAATTAAGAAGACAGAAGTTAACAATTGAGATTGAAGTTAAATTCTTGAAAATGAAAGTCAGCTGGAAAGCAAGAAGCCAAAAGAGAGTTTCACAAGCAAGAAGTGTGATAGAAGAAACTGTTAGCAAAGAATTTACATTTACATCTAGCCATTTCAACTTTAAAATTATGAGACCTAGCTGCCAATCTAGTACTGCACTTAAATTCATAAAGTCTAGGTATCAAAGAAAAAAAACTTCTCATAATAATTACCATGAAAATATTTATAGAAAAGGAATAGGGAAGCTATGTTATGGTGGTGGGAAAGTGATTGAAGCCAAGATGCCAGGTCAAGACCAATAATATTGCAGATTCTTTGGATTTTATCAAGAATCTCTAAATATATAGCAGGAGCACTGGACCTGATGTGGCAGCAATATTCAATGTATGGACAAATGGTAGACTTATAAATCTATAAGATAAATTTTTCGAGCATGGAGTAAAAGTATATACTATACTTCCTTGAATATTTGTTCCTTGATTTTCCAGACTTTGACTACCTGGATGTGAAATAAAAAGATGAACTGGAATCATCCAAACATTTTTCAGTTATCCAAACTAATGTTATTCTCATATTTCTTCTCAGACAAGTATTTTCAGAATTTAGAAAACCATCCTCAACATTTGACAAAGTCACTGATAAAATCAGTTCAATTAATTCTTGCTAATTCTCTCACTGTTTTCATACAAAGAACATATTTCATATTTGAATGATCACAGTTTGGTCATGCCAGAAATTATGGCTTATATAATTCTCAGATATGCGTGACACCTGTGAACCTGGCTTGAATGGGAAATAGAATGTCTTTTTGTTTGCCCAGCACGGAGTAAAGTCATTACCCTTACAAATGGATGTACTTTTATCCAGTTTCAGGAGTTAGCAGCAGAAAAGACCAGCAGGGAACACAACAATTGGCACATTTTATCCCCAAAAAATAAACTGGACAAAACCTTGAATAAAACGTTTGAAAATATTATTTGATATAAATTGTAGTGATATGCAAATGACTGACTAATTAGCATAGCTAAGGCATAGACTATATAAATAAAATAGCTAAGGCATAGACTATATAAATAAAATAGCTAAGGCATAGACTATATAAATGCTCAATCAGCATGGGTAGAGCAGCTCTTGACATGCAAGATAAATGATTACATCTGGACTGATAAAATATTAGACAACAAACTTCATAGTATAAATGTTAAATATCTTTTAGAAAAATACATTCTTCTCCCTACTTTTTCAATAATTTAGTTACCATATATTTCTGCATATAAGGTAACTTTAAATCTTCTAAATTATCCCCCAAAATAAAAAGTTGTCTAATACAACAGTTACAAAAAGCTAACCTTAAATCCTGTGGTATATTGACACTGGTAAGTAGGTTAGTATGCTTGTGCCATGGACACAATAGGCTAAAAACTGCCTCGGTATAGTAACTAGCGATGTAAATATTTCTAGTTGAAACAATTCACATTATAATACTGTACTGCAGTTATGAATGTAATAAAACTACTTTTATTTCTTGATAACACATTAAAATGCGATATTCAAGAGAAAATTACACAACAATTTGCAAAGAACTGCTCAACAATATCCACAAGTAACAAAATCAAATTTTTCCTTCTTGATTTGTAGACCTATGGCTGCATTCGTGCCATTCATTATTTCTCAAATATATGTTAAATAACAACATTTAGGATAACATACATTCTATATTTCTAATTAAAAATTCATTATCATTGTGGTGTTAAATAAGAACATTTAGGATAACATACAATCTATATTTCTAACTAAAATTCATTATCAATGTGGTGCTAAATAACAACATTTAGTATAAAATGTAAAAATTATTTTTCAATAACATACATTATACAGTATTTTTTTGTTTGAGCTGTTAAGCACCAAAACCTTTAAAATGCCATAAACTCTTTATTTCTCATTACACAATATACAACTTTTGTTTACATTCATATGAGTTGTAAGATTGAAATGATTATTGTTATTTTCATAAAGATTCATATTAATACTTTCTATTATTTTATTCCCTTTGATTTGATAATGATAAGAGGTAGCAAAGCAACATTTGCTTTAACATAAGCTTGAATTTATACTCGTAAGAATAATTATGATAAGCCTCACTGCTACTGGCAGTGTAGGCTAGCGTACATTTTAAGCTGTCTTATACAATGGATATCAGATAAAATCACAAAAATTTACATAGATTTGCGGTCTCATCTATAGGCCACCTTATATGAGGAAATATATGATATTCAGTTATCTGGAAATTTGAATTATCCAAATATATTTTTTCAAACCCTGTCTAAAAGCATCAGGATAATGAAGAAAGTACTGTATTTACAATATATCTAATTAGTAAACCTGTTAGATGATAAGTACATAGGGTTTTAGATAGAATCCCTTGCCTAACTGAGGTGAGTTAGTGCCCTTGGAACAATAGGGACAACTGAGATGAATTAAGGGCCCTTGCCACTGTTAGATTCAGTTGGTCCTGAAAAGAGGTTAGAGCAAGATGTACTGCAACCAATGTCCAGATTCCAACAATAGGGAACAAAGATATTCATAGAAGATGACTGACAACCTTAAGTAAATGTAAAGGTCGTAATCTTGTTGCGTTCAACACTTCATCTAATGTAAGTACAATGTTTATGTCTGTTATATTCTGTGCTAATAGGAATATATACTTGACAAACACGAAGGATAAAATAAGTAAAGGTTTATTGTAAAAACCAATACAATAAGAATAAAAGTAACAGTTATGCACAAGGTTGTCACAAGTCAATCCAGTAGTGAGTGCTGCTATTAGAAAGTAGTTCTCACATAAGTCTGAGTCGTACTCAACAGATCCCAGCTAGAAACCTGTAGTCTGTTGCCTTACCGATACTTATAGGTAGTTACTATCTATAGTGTAGTATTTTGGCACACTTCTTTTCCTTTCCCTTTAGTACTTCCTATTTATTCTTGTTTGGGATCTCCTTGTGGTGAGGAGCCATTCTAAAATAACAATCCAACAGGTATTTCAGTTGTGGAGAAAGTATAACCTGTGGTTTAAGCAAATCAAATTCACTGGATGATCCACATGTCAAACAATGTTGGTGTATCAAGAGACAAACAACACATTGGCGCTCTTCATTGGATACTCATCTTTATTTATTTTCTCTCTTTAAAGCCAGAAGAATTCTTGTAAATTCCCCAAATGATTGACCAATTTCTTTCAAAAGTAATTAGGAGTGCAGTAAGAAGAGGACGTAAGTTAAGCACACCCCAAAAATCTGATGAAATTCTTAAAGTTTAGAAATTTAATCACAATTAGATGCACAATATTATGTCAGAAAAAAGATTTTCAAATAATGACATAAGTTCTTCCTCATCCCATTATTTGCAAGCAGAAGACTATCCTCATTCTTGTTGTTATCAAAATGTTTCAGTCATTGTGACGTTCAGCCTTAATCAAGTGTATGTCAACCTAGGTAACCTACAGGGAATTCTGAACTGATCCTTTTACTTAATCTATGGAGGAGGGAACAGTTTAGCCTCATAGATTAAATAAAAGGGCCAGTTCAAAATTCCCTGTAGGTTACCTGGGTTGACATACACCTGATGAAGGCCAGAGGACACAATGGTCAAAATGTTGTGATAGTAACAACAAGGATGAAGACAATAGTCCAAATGTAAACAGTGTAAATAACATCATAACTTTCAATTAGTTCAAGTACACATTACCTGGCCCAGGGATTCAACTCACAATATATCACCAAATTCATGAACCAACACTTTAATACATGAAGCTATCATCCCAACAGAAAAAAAAAATCAGTTTTTGATGGACCTACCAACACATTCGCTCCCAGCAAGATCCACCAGCTGTAGTTTTGTTTTCAAAATTCCTGGACACAGGGGTAATGGAGAAGACAATGTTGTTGGACTGGCGGATTTTTCACGAGCATTTAACTGGGAACCTGTAAAATAAGGTATTTACATTTCATTCCATAAAAGAAATCAGAGATTACAGATTAAAGATAATCTTGAAATTCTATTGTCTTGACTCTTCCCATTGCAATATCTTCAGGTAGATAGCCATATTCAATGATGGTCACATGTTCTTTCTTTTAAAAACCAAAAGTTGTTCCACCTACAAGTACCAACTGTTTACTTTCTATAGTGTTAACAACTTTGAGAAAGTAACTCTTTACTTGAGTGGATTTTGAGTTTTGTAGTAAGTGAACTTTATGGGGACTGAAAGAAGTGAAAAGGAGAAGAAAAGGGTAAAATGTGTTATGCAAACAAGTTCTTTCCTGCCAATGGGCCACTGCTGGGAGAAACTGAAGACAACAGGAGGAGGTAATTTATTAGGTGAAAGTGGGGAGTGGTTTGCTTCATGGGAAAATAATTGAAGGAATAAATATTATCATTAACATTACAGATGAGAACAGATATTACACTTTGATCCAAGCTTGATGGGCATGGGGTGAAGAAAAGCTTAACACGCATAACATTGGCTGCTCGGTCAATGAATGTTTCTTTATAAAGAAACAGCTGATATTACCATTCAAAGTGAACAGATACTACACTTTGATCCCAGCTTGATGGCCAGGGAATGAAGAAAAGGTTAACTCAAGTAGTATTGGTTGCTCAGTGAATGAATGCTGAATGTTTCCTTATGAGGAAATAACTAATATTAAAATAATCATGAGGAGAACAGCTACTACACTCTGTTTTTTCTTAATTTGAATATTACTGCTCAACACACATTCTGAAATTGTCTTATTCGACTGTTTTGTATTTTGAAATGAGGTGTTGTCATAATTTGATGATTCGTTGGATGAGAATTTTCATTTCTTTTTTTTAACTTTTTGCCTTTGATTTCTTAAAAATCAAGTTTCAGAGGAAAATATTTTTGAAATAATAAAACAAGATCAAAAACGCCAAATATAGTGGCCATAAATAATAAATGGATGCAAAGAAAGTAGTCTAAGAAATTCCAGCAAAAACTCAAATCATCTTGGAAAGGACTGAAGGTTTTAGGCCAGAGCTCAAAAACTTGTTTATTTTTGTATAAATCATGAAGGAATAAATCCTTCACTACTTCAATGGTTACAGTTTTAAGTCCAACATTCTATCTACTGAATTAGAGGTGTAAAGGTAGCATAACTTAGCAAACCAAGGTTGACTGAATCTGTTGCATACACTTTGTACTAATACCTTTGAAAAGGGCATGAATATCTTTCTTCTGCTCTGGCTATAGGTTAAATATCAGGGTAGACTAGGCTCTCAAGACTTGAGTGGCAGCCAGTCTAGGAGAAGGACAATTCTGAATTCAAAAATATGAAGAAGGCAACAGGAAACCACTTCACTATTTTTCTGAAGAAATCAAGGCAATTCACAGTTATTAAATAGAGTTAAGTAGTGGCAAGCCATTGCTGTCTACATTATTTAGATAGCTGGCCTTAAAAAGAGATCCATTAAACAATTTCTCAATATTTTTTTTCTACCATTACATAAGTAATATATCATTTCTTGTCTTTGATAAATTGACACTAATTAAGTCAACTTGTCAAAAATAGGGGAGGATATTTTAGGAATAGTTTTTGTTGTTTAAAATTCATTAGATATTTCTCAACCACCAAACCTTTGTCAAAAAAAAAAAGAAATACTGATTTTTTAATTGATTTTATCCTGTGTCAAATTGATCCCAGACCTCTTAAAGAGTTATCTGTACTTTATTTACAAATGTCAAGTTTGAAACTGTGTTTACGTTAATGATAACTGCATACTACTATTAATTAAAGAAAAGGACAATATAAGCATTACCATGTTATCATCAACTGAGAAATATTTTTCCCAAGTTTTTTCTTGACTATTCATATAGCTGAACTAGTTACCCATGTAAAAAGGAATCCTTGTGATCACCAATCTAATGATCTAGATTGAGTCTATAAAAGAGAAATATATTAAATTTTCCTTAATTCAATTCCAGAGCTTTCTTCCCTGATTTATTTCCTATGAGAAAGTTCAATTTATTTAGGGTCCAATGCTCACATGTCCACAGGAAATGCTCAAAGCAATCCCAACCATTGCTCTTCTCACCTCCATTCCAATGCTCTATACATTGAGATTCCGAGGTCTGTCTACTAAACTTAATAAAATTAAATAAAGAAAAAGAAATATTTGTCACTTTGAATGAGGGACACATCAAAATTAAAAATTGCTTTGTCCTTTTTTTATATCCTTTTTCACTTTTGATTTGAGCATTCTCTCTTTTGTAGGATTTCACTTGATTTTTTGTAATTGCTGTTCAAATGAGCCACAAAGGTTAAAAAAAAAGAACAAAAACCAATAAAAAAAACTCCATTAGGAACAATTGTCTATTGAAAATTGTGTTATTGTCAAGTAGAAACACACATTTTACACTCTTCACACATGGACAGTTTCACTTGATATATATGTTGGACGAGGTGAATTATATATAAAACTTGGTACATCTAAAGTTGGAAAAATAAAGCTTTTGTTTGAAATGTGTATGTGCATCAAATGAATATCTGCATTTATAACTTTGATATTATATATATATATATATATATATATATCAAATGTATGTATGTATGTATATATATATATATATATATATATATATATATATATATAGAGAGAGAGAGAGAGAGTGAGAGAGAGAGAGATGAAGAGAGAAAGATTTACACATACACAGACATATATATATTATTCTATATTTACTCCTGTCATAAAGGTAAGTGTGACATGTTTGATGAGTTCAAATTGGCAGTTAATCTCAAAAACAATTTATAATTTGTTGTTAACTGGGGCAAGGAGTGGCTTGTTTAATTGCCATACAAGGTTGGCAACAAAGTCTCATCATTTTACATTTGAAATGGCTAGATGTAACCATGTTTTATACAAACAGTTTCTTCTCTTGCACATTTTGTTTGTGGAACTATCTTATATATACTTATAGCTCTGTTTCATAACATTGAACACTGTATTTATAACACCTGAGGTAGAAATATATTTATATATACGTGTATGTAGATTTTTTATCCTACCCATTCTTACATATATATAAGAACATATAAGTACATATACTTGCATGCATGTATATATATTTCTTATAACTATATATAAATGTCATTTTTAGTGGATAAATGTGTTTGAGTTGCTATCCCTGTCTCTTATTTTCTTAAATAGTGACAAAAATAACAACAGGCCTCGATTGATAAGTTCTACTTAAGAAAAATATCCTTCCCAACAGAAATCAAACCTGCATTATTTTTTTTCTGTTTGGGAAAACACTTCTATACAGCAGTTTTCCCATTGGAGACCATTTTGATAAAGCAATGTTCAATTTAGCTATTTAAGAAATACACATCATTTCTAACAATCTATATCTGCTTAATTCAAATTTTATGCCTGAAATGTCATTATTTAATGGATAAGTAGGCGAATTAAATAGTGATACTGTTATAGATTCAATAGAAAATTCTTCAAAAACAGAGTGCTATCATTATATTGAAGATAGATTGCCTTACAAAGTCTTTTACACTCCTATTGACTCCCAACTATCTGGCAATAAAGTATATATATATATATATATATATATATATATATATATATATATATATATCCTGAGACACAGTGGAGTAATGGATAGTGTCATGGATTGAGCAATCAGAGAGCCAAGTTCAAATTCCATTTGAATCCATTACATTCACTTACATGAATGCTAATACCCTTGGGGAAGGTATGGATCCTCTTCTCCCCCCAGCTATGGGTAAATAGCAGAACAGACCGAGTCCTGTAGCCTTGAGTGGCAACTGATCTAGAAGAAAGACAACTCTGAATTTAAAATTTGATCTTCCAGATTGGGGGTTATATAATAGACTAACAACCTACTCACTTAAAAACTGGCTTGTTATAGAAACTGCAACGGTATCTTGCAGCTCTATGTTCCTCAAGGAATCTAAAAATGCATAATATATATAATGCTTTAATTAACAAAATAATTAAAGTTGTTTTCTTCTTTAATTTCAATATTAAAAACTTGTTGCACATTGCTAGAAAGGTTATCTTTAATGGGTCCATATGTTTGTCTTGATAACTCTGTTTATATTTTCTAAAACTATGAAATTAATATCAACCGGCCTAGATCAAGAAGTCATACTGAAGATAAATGTTTTTCCTGACAGTAATTGAAGCTGTCCCCCACCATTTTACATCAGGGAACCAACTCCTACAGATGATGATGTCCACATTATGCCATCAGTATAAGCTAAAAATGAGGACAAGATGTAAACAGTGTAAATAATTACAATACTCTATCTCAGAAATATCGACAGGTGATTGTTGGTCATGAATAACATGATGCAATTCTGAAATGTTTCCGGTTTCTTAAGAAGCACTATAGTCCAGTTTACACAACCCAGGCCACAAAGTAGTACATGGAGAATATATTTATTGGATTTGTTATGGTCAAATTTAATATATATAAATAACGTCACAAAGAATGCCTTAAAATTGGTTTTCAGCAAATGAGAAATGACACTGAAATTAACCAAAAACAGTTACATAGACACACAACAACAAAATCCTTTAAAGGAATGTAGCAACATTTGAAAGTACTTGGGTAAAATAACAAAAAATAAACTTTGGTAAAATTACTGATTATATAAAAATAACTAGTTTGGAAATTTGAAAAAAATAATAAAAAATTGGATAGTTTGAACTTGTCAATATTATTCAACAAAAGATATTTAAAATATATATGTGTGTGCATGTGTAAAATTGGAAACTAAGGTCAACACCATGCAGTGACAGACAGTCTGTTTCATGCTTGAACGTAATCTTCAGGCCATGTGTATTGTGTATTGTGTTTTGGCTTGACTATTTACATTTGTTGACCATGTTCTTGTAAAGATGGTTTGTCCAGAGTTTGGTTTCATTGATGTATTCTTTTCAGATATATAGTTTGTAGAGAAGTTGCTTTTAGTGACATCCTTATTTGGATTATGTTTTTGGAAGACACCCACTGTTGTAAGTAATAATGTTATGTCATCAATTTTTGATTTTCGAAGAAATATATGTTGTTTATATTATAGAATTTTTGTCTTGAGAGAGCAAGATCTGAGCACCAACATAGTATGATGTCTTTATCTTTGCAAGTAGTAATCATTTTGCATAATAGTTTCATAGTGAGTGAGTTGGATTTTTTTACTTTATCAATAACTATGGTTTGGTTTGTTTTGTTTTATGGCATATCAACCTCAATGATTTATTTAATGCCAACAAAATTTTTATTGCTGGTAATATTTTGTTTTGTCAAAAATCTATTTCTGGTAATATTTTTTTTCCTCAAAAATGTATAGTTGGTAATATTATTTTAAACAATGTATTGCTGTTAATAGTTTTTTTTGAAAAATTTATTGCTGGTAATATTTTTTTTTCAAAAATATATTGCTGGTAATAGTCTTTTTTTCTTCCAAAAGTTTATCTCTGGCAATAATTTTTTACAAAGTATTTCTGGTATTAAAACCTATTTTTACACTTTCATAATGCATTTTATCTCAGTTTGGGAGTTAGCTATTTACCCTTAGCTGGGACCCTAACAGGTGATACCACCCCGGGAACACCAGCAATTAAGAGGTGGTTCCACGCTGTTCAGAACCTCCTGATCAGAGGTCTTGCTGCTGGACGTAGTTTATCGTCTTACCCTGGAAGCGGATGTAGTTTATCGTCATACCCAGGATGACAATAACTATAGCTAACCTCTTCAAGTCTAGAGTCAACTATTATACCACATATCCTCATAATATGAATCTCTTATTTCCTCTCATTAGGCACTTACAACCACCTCATTCAGTAAACCTCTATCTTGAGTGGCTCTTGGGCCTTGTATTGAGTGAACAAAAAATAGTGAAAGCAAAGTAAAACAATAGGCACTATCTATGAGTTGACATATTACAACATGTAAAACATTTGAATAAATCTGAAGATTCAAACAAGAAAATATTTCTCAAATATAACAAACCAATGATATTGTTAACGTCAGATGCAGAATGTCGATGTGAAACAGAATTCCAAGCGGATGGATCTTTTGTTGTAATCATTAACGTAACAACCAGGTGTGACCGGCTTGAATGTTCATGAACTAGGGTGGCACTTTCTCGACGTGTATGGAGACCATGTACAACACAGGACATCACCGACTCTACAGTAGCAACTCGCCTTAAAGAAAAAAACAAAATTCAGAATTATTAATTACAAATTGTTAAAATTTCTTCTTTTGTGTTGTGTTGATTTCTAGTTTGGGATCAAGCTGGAGATTTTATTGAAAGGAAAAGGAAAAAATAATAAACTCGTTTAAGAAAAAGCAGACACTGTCCAAAAATTTATCACATTAGGAGGTTTTATGCACAACTTTGAATTTAAATGAAAGAAATTACAAACAAAACAAATTTTCTAATGGTTGACTGTTCTAGAATTAATGCAAAAACAAATAAAACAGGATGGATCAATAAGTTTGTAATCTGAGAGAGTTATAAGCTGAATTTTGATTTGGCACTTTCAGTGGACAATATTGAATTGTTGTCATTAATGGAAAAACATTGGATTAAGTGCATTGCCAAGGAAAGAGATTATTTTGAAATATAGATATTTGTCATGTGAAATAAATGCTTTTTGCATCATTAAGCTAGAGAGTTATTGATGTACCTATATATGGAATATAACAGCAGAAGAGGCAAGAATTCTTGGATTTCTTGATTCTATGATTTTCATTTGAACAGATAATACACTTTGATCCAAGGTAGAAAATCATAACTGTTGAACATTTAATATCTTCACCAGATGCCATATGCAATTTAACAGCAGAAGAGACAAGAATTCCCAGATTTGTTGATCAAGATATTAGAACATTCCAATATTCCCCAACTTTCAATTACATGTGATTTCTATAAAATTGTGCACCAGCCATATACTTATTAACTTTCAAGATCTGAAAATTATGTTTTTGCTTATTTACATCAAAAGTAAGCACTGCAATAATAATAAATAAATCAAACTAAACAAGATTTGTGATTTTGCAATTTGTTGATCTGAAATTTCATAAAATTAACTCTGATAGCAATGTGTGCAATGAAGATGCGATATGGAAATTGTTTGGAGGATAATTGTTAAAAAAAGGGAAAAATAAATGACTGTTTATTTTAATAAATTATATTTTACTTCCTCTAAATGTTGCAAAGATAAATCGGCTGAAGATAATGTAACAGTAAAGAGGTTAAAGCTAATTACTTCAGCAAGTAATTAATGCAAAAAGAAAATAAACTTTATAAAAAGAATAATGAAAAAGAAAACGTGCTCACATTACAAAAGCTCAATCCTTCACGAATTTTCTGAAAGGTTTGCACAGTTTGTCTCACATGTAAAGAAATTCAGAAAAATAAACTAACAAAATTTGCTGCTACTTTGAGATTGGTTTAATATGGTAATTAAACATATGTCAAATGTTTTCCTGAAAATTTACAGTCAAGTGTCAGCATGAGATTGTTCTAGGAGTGCTAATTGTGCCATGTAACCCAATACAACATGTTGCATAGTCAGGTCATCAGTGACTAAACCGGTCCCCCCACCAGGTTCTTGTCAGACCAGCAGGATCATCTCTGCAATCTTTATCATAATTTTTCAGCCAGACAATCTCTAACCTTCATGAGGTACATATATCAGTGAATTTGGAATAGAAGCCAAATAGAAAGGCTCCAGAAAATACCTAAATTCTGCTGACATGCTGTATATTTATAGGAGTTGAATCAGACCAAGTACTACAGCCAGGTCAAGGCCGGTGCTGCCAAATCTACACTGTCTAGCCTTGACAGAGTTTTGGGAGTGACTGTGCAACCATGTAGGTGAAGAATTATTCTCCACCCTGCAACCCTTATCCCACAAAGTGTTGGTAGCTTCTCAATATTGTTACTATGGCAGATGTTCAGACAGGTTACATTCCTTGGTTTCAGCAGCTGAAACCATCACCTCTAAGACCCACTAAGCCATGTCCACAGTGGCAAATCAGCCCTGTTCCCTTTCTGTTCATTGGATAAAGAGTAAGTTCCATTTACAGCTTCATCTCTAGAACTGTTACTTTGTGGAAGAAATCCTCAAGAGAATGCCTCCTTGACAACTAAAATTTTGGTCTTTTTAATCTCAGAGTCAACCAGTATCTATCCTAAATGTGCTTGTAATGTGTACTTCTTAATCCCACCTTCTCTATCTCTCAGTAACACTCTAGAATGAGGTGCACTTGGGGTTTGTATTGGGATTTGGAATAGGGATTTTAGAGTGGGATACTTTTTTTTATTGTTTCCAATGGCATCTCTAATCCCCCCCCCACCAGAGGGTAGTTGGAGACTCAGCAGAATTAAAAATAAAACCTGAGCAAATCAACTTTCTTGTAGGGTCAGCAGCCATCTTTGGGGTAGGCTGGACTCCACATCTATATACACAGCCAGTATGGGTGATGACGTGCCTTCAATAGAGAGGAGCACTTCTTAGACTGAAATGAACATATCCTTCAAGTTAGCAGATATAAGCTATGTACTTGCCCAAAACATGCTACACAAGAATGAATATCCTCCAATTTTCAACTTAGACATATGGAGGGAACTAGTCAGGTGCTTAGTTGAGCTGTGACCCTCTGACCACATCCGGTCAGGAGACTGATAATACTGAATAGAATATTAAATCCTTTCATGGCATTAAATTTAAAATTTTGTTTCTAGTAAATAAGGATCTAAAGTTATGGCAATTCATTTATATTCTATGCTTGGCCTGGTATGTCTATTATTACTATTTGGTACTTGTAAAATTTGCAGATGACAAGATCAGTACATGAGTCTGTTAACATCAAAAATAATATCATCACAATAATAAAAGATATAATTCTTCTTTTATGTGTCACAGCTTTTCAAAACATAGAGGGCCACGGTCCTCCACAACTTCCTGCTTTTTGTCTTAAAAATTATTAATTTTTTTATTTTTATTTATGGTAAAGTGTTAAAGAATATTTATTCTTTAACACTTTTACAATTTGTCCTCCTTCTGCCATCTATTTTAGTAAGTAACTTGCTGCTTTCAGTGAGACTAGTAATTGTTAAATTATTGTTGCTTTCAGTGAGACTAGTGAATGATAAATTCTCCAGACATTCTTTTCTCAGTATACATCCCCCAAAAGTTAACTGTTTTTTTTTCTGATCATTGCCAGTAGTTTCTTTTTAGTTTTGATTCTCCTTAAAACTTTTTTCTTTTTCTCAGATGTTTTGTCCATGTTATTCTAAACATTTATTAGTAGATCCTTTCTTTTGTTGCTTCTTGCCCCCTTCTTTATTTATGTAGAGATTGTCCAGCATTCACTGGCATATTGGAGATTAGATATTGTATGGTACTCCAAAACTTTTTTCTTTGTTTAAAATTTGGTATATTTAGGTGAGTGGAGTGCTCAATATTGACGACAAAACATTTGTAGATGAAAGCAGTATGGATATCACCTCGTAATGGATTCCAGAAGTAGTAGATCAAAGTTAAACCGGATGAAATAAAAAGGTAATACTATATAGGAGAGGAGTGTGTAAAGCCCTGTTTTCATTGGCTGACGTTGACTGACATATGTCAATAAGAACGGTTGAAGTCTGGCCTTACTAGGCAGATGAATACTGAATACTGTTTTTGCAATGTCATGGTGCATAGCACAATGCTTTCAAGGAGGCGGCCTGAATCGTCTTGAATCAGGTCAGGGTTGCTGTTGCAGTTGATATGATGCAAAACCCGAAATCGTCAATGAAGACAGTGCATCATTGAAGACCATCCTTGATGCATCTAAAATGTATTATTTAACTGGTACTCCAAAACTTTTTTCTTTGTTTAAAATTTGGTATATTTAGGTGAGTGGAGTGCTCAATATTGACGACAAAACATTTGTAGATGAAAGCAATACGGATATCACCATGGCATGGCGACTGGCAGTTTCACAACTGAAAACAATTATCACCATATAAACACACATGTGTGTGTGGGGGGGTGCATATTCTGATGAATAGAATGCACAGCAGAATCAGGCCAGAGATAGTACAAGAACAATGTGGGCTCATTAAAGAATGTTATCAGAAAGAGCAATACAAATGCAGAACAATGTGCACCTGTATTTTAAAGACTACACAAAGGTGTTTGACAAAGTACACCACAATGATCTGTTGAAACTAGTCAGCATCCTTGAAATATTTGGGAAAGACATTAGAATAATTTAGAACTTATACTGGCAGAAAACTGCTTGCATGAAGATAAAAAATGAGTTCTGCAGATAAACAAACATAGAAAGGGGTGTAAGACAAGGATGTGTCTTCTCACCAGACCTATTTAACCTTTACAGCGAGGCAATTCTAAGAGAACTGGAAAGCCTACTAAGATTCATCACTGGTGGCTACAGTCTTAACAACATAAGATACACAGATGTCACAGTGCTGATAGCAAACACAGAAAGGAAATTACAAAACCTCCTACAGAAGGTAGTGAAAGAGAGCAAGAAGGGACTAAGTATAAACTACAAGAAAACAGAATGGATGGTCATCAGCAAAAAGATGAGCTTGAAATGTGATTTACAGGTCAGGGACACTAAAATCAAGCAGGTGTGGAAATTTAAATATCTGGGAAGTGTTCTAACAGAGGACAGTAAGTGTGACGCTGGGATCCGAAGACGTATTGGGATGGCCAATGATGCATTCCGAAAGCAAGGTAGAGTATTACAAGATAGGAGGGTTTCATTAGTACTGAACTGCTATGGGATATCTGTCCTCCTTTACGGCAGTGAATGTTGCACAGTCTTCTCAAAGATGAAGAAGAGACATGAGGCAAGAGAAGTGTGGTTCTACAGAAGGATGCTAAGGATACCATGGAGTGAACATGTGAGCAATGATGAGGTATTGGAGAGGATGCAAACAAGGAGGAAGCTTATACTTAACATGAGGAAGAGGCAGTTGAAATTTCTGGGACACCTAATGAGAAAAGTGGGCTTGGAGAATCTGATACTCACAGGGTGGATAGAAGGGAAAGCAATGCGTGACATACTTAACAGGCTTAAACAAGTAGATGGTGAAACAGGTCTGGAAAAATAACAAAAAGTCAAATTTTATTAAGGGTTACAAGGGACAGGAGAAAATGGAGATCCATGATCGCCTACG